AAACTTTAGCAAAGTAAATGTTCTCACTCAAACCACCAGCCAGGAACAAAAACAACATTCAGCTGTTTTGTAATCTGGTTTGCTCAAGCTCTGGCCTGCCTGCTGAGATGGGAGTAACTGATCACAGAGTTATAGGGAAGGGACCTTTAAAGATCATCTAGTCCAAACCCCCTGCAATAAGCAGGGACATCTTCAACTAGATCAGGTTGCTCAGAGTCCCGTCCAACCTGACCTTGAATCTTTCCAGAGATGGGGCATCTACCACCGTCTGGGCAACCTGTTCCAGTGTTTCATCATCCTCATCGTAAAAAAATTTCCTCCTTATACCTCATCTGAATCTGCCTTCTTTTACTTTATAATCATTACCCCTTGTCATGTCACTATAGGCCCTATTAAAAAGTCCAGCCCCATCTTTCTTACAAACATCCTTTAAGTATTGAAGGACCCCAATAAAATCTGCCCAAAGCCTTCTCTTCTCGAGGCTAAAACTTATGTATGAATAGATTATTAGGGAAAGGCTTGAAAGGATCAACTTCAATGTATAGTGGATCATGTCGACCATATATTCCTCTTGAGTCAACGCTGACCCAATGGTAACATTTAGGCTTCCTTGTAGTGTGATTGTGACCTTCCAAGTACACCACCCAGGGCACATGGACACAAAAATTCCCACCAGAGAGGAGAATTAGTCACCCACCAGTTTGAGTTGACATCCAGTTGTAGACACCTCAATGTGACGTGGTCTGAGGCATGGGCTGAGACACACACTCGCTTGCCGAGGAGCTGATGACTTGCCGTTTTAGGCCAAGAGAGGACATTGATATTCTCCGCTTCCCCTGGTACATGATGCAGCCGCTCAGCTCAGGTCGCTCTGGGGACTGTGTTAAGAGTGTTGACTAAATCTCTATTAATTATAACATGAGTTTACACATGTCTAGCTGACAAGTAAATACTTGCTTGTATGTACCTATTTAGGTGTCTGAATCTAGAGCTGAATCTCTCCCCTGAAATGTTTAGGGAATTAAGGAACGATGAGATCTCTTAAAATTTCTTTTTTCCTTTTTTTTATGAAACCTACTTGTGATTGCAAGCTGGTTGAAGACCCTGTTCAGCTACTGAAATCAGTGTCGCTGAAATAGGTGTCTTGAAGCAGGCCAGATAGTATCTCTCAAATGTTGCCACTCTACTATGTCCTCAGCGACTGTCCAAAAACCCTGTGCAGATCCTGCAGCATCACCCCAGCTGTGCACAGCACCACGGGGGTATCCGCAGCGTCACCGCTCAGCAGTGGGTTTATGGACTAGGTCCTCTGCTGGTGCCAAACCCAAGTAGCTCCCTTTATCCAACAGGAGCTATGCTGAGATTCACGTCACCTGAAAATCCACCCCTGATGATGTTCAAAAACTTCCTTAGCATTTTAAGCAATAAATTCTTTGGATTTTTGCATATTGGTGTCCTATTTTCAAGGATCTGAGGTATGGTCTCCCATGTCTATGAGTTGATAACTCCCAATTTTAAACCAGAAGGGGCATTAATATTCTCTGTTTCACCCTGGTGTGTGATGCAGGTTGTAGAGCAGTTGTAAGTGATTCCCAGCAAAGACCTGAGAAATATTTCTACTTGTCCAGCCAGCGCCTGCAGTCAGTAGTGAGAAGAAAACACCCTCAGAGTTACAGGCATAAACTGCAACTCCAGGGACTGGAGGTTGTTGTCTGATGAATTTGGCAATGTGCCCTGCACAGATATTCTGCTGTTTTAATAAAAAACAGTAACATCAGTAGGTGCAGCAGATATTTCAGAGCTGTATAAGGAACAACGGAAAGACAAGAGAGAGAATGGAGAGCAAATAACAGATGGTAAGGAGGTTGAAATGCTTTACTGTGCTTATTCCAGTCTTAAATGAAAAGGATAATAGTAACAGGATATTTAGTACAATCATAGCTAACACAGCTAGGAAGCCTTCATAAGGGAGAATCCAAAAGAAAAAGGACGCTGATTGCCTAAATCACTTGAATATTCTTAAATCAGTGAGGCTAAATGAAATTCACCCTTGACTATAGTGCTTAAAAGAGCTGGTGCGAAAAGCTGTTGGTTTATAAAAGCCTCTCCTGTCTTCTAGAGACACTGCGATGGTACATACTCTTCAAATCCCTTGGTGAAAAACACTCCGATTATATGTACCCTTAATGCCATCGGCGACGAGCCCGTGTCACGAGCCGCGACTGCGCGCTGTCGTGCGCACACGCACACGCACGCAGAGCCGGCTTTTTCTAGCGGTTTGAGCAAAGGGAAGAATAAGAGTGAAAAGTGACATCGGTTTTGATATGTGACATTAACTTTCAAGCTGAAGAAGGGAGCAACGGGTTCTAATTGTTATTCCCTTTCAAAATAAGCCACGAGTTCAGACAAAAGAGGAGAGAATGGGGAGAAAAAAAAAAATCCAGGAGAGAAACAGAATCACGTTTTTTCACTTATCTAATTAAAGCAAGGTGGGCGAGCAAGAGGGAGAGCTCTCCGTGCTCAGGCAGCGGTGCTACCCCCTTTATTCTGGGAAAGGTGGGAGACGGAGGCGGTTGCTCTGCCGGCCCATGGGGGGGAATTATCCATCCCTGCGATTGGGAGCTCTCTTCCCAATGCAAATTCACACTCAACTTTGGGACATGCTGGTGCCTCGTTGGACCCCGTATCCTAATTTAGTGGCACAACTGCTAGCGTTTGTGTTTTGCCCTGGTTCATGGTACGGATGCTTCCAGCGCAGACCTG